GGTCGAGCATTCAGTGTAAATTATCACCATGGGCCAAACGATATTCATTCTATTTATCGATTCTCTTCACCTCGATATGAATTGCTTCCAAATTCAGAAGTTATAAAAAATCCACGATTGCCCTGTTTAAATTATCCTCCTTACTACCTTTTAAGACTAATCAGTAGGTTATCTGTAAATTGATTAATTTTTTTGTCTCGTAGTTTTGGCTATTTAAAACATGGGTTTACATGTAATAATATATGATTTGTTTGTTCAACTTTCAGTCACCTATCGACACTCCAGTATATATACTCAACAATTGTAGTTGCATTTACTGTATGAATTTCCTTCAAAAGGAATTCCATGTTATTTCGGTTTCATTTACTCTTATTTCCATAGTTGTACCGTTATTGTTGATGTTAGTGGTGGTGGTTGTGTTGATGTATCTTTGTTAGTTTTGCATAGTCATTAAGAACTTGCGTGACATGATTTTTACGCGTTCAAGATCACAACATGAATTTATGGTGTTGGTAATAGTAGAAGTAGTATCAACATTTGATACTATTATCTCATGATTTGATTCTGCGTAACCGATTGGTGATTGATACAGCTTATCCAACGTTTAAAGTGTTATATTCTATTGCTGAACGAATCTGTCCAATAGTCTTGTCTAATCTAAAAGATTGTGTTCGCTCCATTTGAGAGTTACAATTTATCTTCTAATAATTCTTATGTCTTCTTAAATTACAGACACAATATTTGTTCTCCAACCCATGTTTATCAAGGTTTAGAACTCGAGCTTCTTTGTTCAACTACAGTGAATACCATAAAGTCAAACAAGTTTTGTATCAGTTTGATTTCTACACTTTGAATTAACACAAGAAAAAGAATTAATCAGGAACAATCAAAACTGCTGTAATAACTATTTGTATAGCAAAAAATAGAGTTTAAAAAAACTAACTAACATTGAAAAACAAAACATAATAAATAGTTAATTTCGTGCAGTTAATCTATATTAGCATCCGTTTTACGTGTTGGTTCATGCCATGTACTTAGAATATTTGAATCATTGTAGATCCTCTCGTATGACAGTTATTATCAAGTTTTCAATTTCTTTCAAATCCTACTGTATGTATATTTTAGTCTTAATTTTTCATATCGACCCCAACTAACTTCTGTTTATGCAACTGAGTAACGTCACTAATTTTTGTATATAATGTTCAGCTCAAAAGGGGATATACTTATTTGTACTTAACTATTGAGTTACATTAATGTTATTATTTGTATGATAAAATTGATGATTATCTGTCTTAATTACATTTAAATCACAATACACATTTCATCTACCAGAACCAAACTTCTTTACTTTTATACTCAAGCTTTTCATGTAAGCCAAAATATGAACAAAAATCTCAACTACTTAGTTCTGTGTACTATAAATGGATCCAGATTTTTTTATTAATGTTCCTTGCGTTTTTTTATTCGGCTATTGTTAGTTTGAATGATCGTAAGTTTTGTTTTGTATTACTGAAACATTATTTTGTAGCTATCCTTCCTACATTACTGGATGGTATGCAGTTAACACCTTGTCGACGTGCTATAATTCATCGACATTTGTACATGTTTATCCATTATATTGATCGAACTTCGAAGTTTTGGTTTAATAAATGCTGGTCAGATGAAAAGGATATGCGTTCAGGTAATCAAATTTTAGGGAAGATATTTTCAGGAAAATCATGTGGAGATTAATTTGTTGACTGTGTTCCATAATTATTTACTAATGTGAAATTTTGGTATTTTATGTCCATATTAATTGGTCAAGTTAATAAGTAGATATCCATCTGTATCGTATTAAATTAATTAGTTTAGTTTTTCTACCAACTAAATTTTTATTATATTTCTGGCTACACTTTATGGTGTGTGTGCGGTAGTTTTCTTCCTTGCTTACTCCTGTTACCCCTCGTAGAGCATGCTTTTGTTGTCTCATTCCAATTCCTATCACAGTGTATTCTTCGTTGAACAGCTACTCCCTAGTTTGTAAGTTGCCCAGTTTGATGTAGTCTGAACAGCTAGTTTATATTATCATTCGGTGACGTTTTTAAAGCTCTTTGATCTAACTAGATGTTTCCTCTTTTAAGAGTAATTTTCATAATCTTCTAGTCGGATAAAAGCGAGTTTTTTTGAATGATCAGTCTAATAGATTGACCGATATCTCAATAATTAAATAACTTTCTTGAATCTGTTTCATGATTTCGTTAGTAAAGCTAATTATTCTGTAAACGGATTTATGTTGTCACAAAAAATGAGTAGGATTATCTGTTAAAATGATTAAAAAGTATCATCTACTTATATGATTTCTGTATTGGAAAAACCCGAAAAGGTTGTACAATAGTAATGGTATGTGTTATTGAAGGAGTGGTAAGCACAGATCAATAACCAGATGAAATTAGTTTTGTGTATTAAACTGTAAATCATATATATTTTGTGGATACTAATAACACATGATCTGTTTAAGGTAATATAAATGTAGGCAAAATTAAATATTTGTTTTCAAGTTAACCACTTCGAAAGTAATCCAGTGTTCATTAGTCCCGAAACTATAACTTGGGTGATCAACTAAGCTAAGATTAAATAACGATGTATATTTATCATGTAAATGTTCAAACTACGTATTACCAACTACTTTATTGAAATCACGAACCAATCCAAGTTAGACAACCACTAAAGATCTAGAAGCACTGGACAGCTGTTTTTGTCCTAATGTGGGACTTCTTGTCAATACACATTCATGACTAGTCACTGAGGATTAGATCCAGGATTTTAGGTCTCACGCTCAAACCTCCAACCTCATAATCGCAACTGGGTTCCAGTGGTTTACAAGTTTAGCTTCAGTCAGTCTTTGTTTACCAACTAGTCGAATATAGAAAACCCTAATCGTTGGATTTTTATTAAGTGAATCAACTATAACGTATTTATCACAGGATTTTAAATGCTCTTATTTTAACTTTATATGAAATTGTATTTCCGGACATAGGATGACCGTCAAAAGCATACTAATGATAGGTGTCTAATGTTCACTAACTTTCAGTGACTACTAGCTACCTTCTAATTCTTCCATACAATTAGTACTCACTACTTTTTCTATTTTTTCTAGTCACTTAAAAATGATCTCTTACAATATAAATTTTTCATATATAATTGTTAATTTACAGACATTTCTTAATTTGTTCTATTCTGTTTGGTCCGATGATTTTTTTATCCTTATTTATGTATACATACATGTTTTTTCTAATTATAGTGTCAAATAAGTTAGAACAATCATCGATTAATACTACAATATCTGAATCTTCCAGCGATACAGAACCGTTAACAAACATTACTAGTTCTAAATCATTACGGCGTACAACACGAAATACTTCTAAAAATCAATTAACTATAAGATCTGAATCATCAGAATTATCTCCTTTAATAACAAAATCATTCTATTCATCTAATGAATCACCTACAGTAACATCAAATTCCCAACCAATAATAAATGTTAATCTAAAAGACATAAACAAGGATTCTAACACAAATGTATCATTGACATGTTCTATTACAACAACACCTTCAATTGACATAATATCAACATCTCCAACAATAGTGACAGGAACAAAATCCAAACATAACTCTGCTGATTATCCATCAACGGATGTAAAATTTCAATCTCAAGTTAAACAGACTGCTCGATCTATTCCATTATTAAGTGGAAAATTAAAAACCGATGATCATACCACAACAACATTAAGTGCAACAATTACTAATACTGTTAACACTACACAAGGTAGTCTTGATCAAAATATTCGTATGACACGTTCAATTGCTATGCGCCTAAATAGAATGAATTCTGGTCCTAATTTACGTTCTCATTCATTAAGAGGAAAATGATGATATGCATCAAAATAATAATATGCACATTTTTCTGTTTGTGCATTTCATTGTTTATACTGCTAAGATGGTTATCGTTATTCCTTGTTCTTTGTCAAACATATTTTTATAACGTGTTCTAGATATTTTCACTGTCATTATTATTATTATTAAAACAACTGCTTATCAGTTTAACTGTTATGATGATTTTGAGAATCCTGTTCTTAAATATTTGTTTTGTATGTTTTGGAAATAAATTCCTGTAACAAGGTATACACTTCTAAAGAATTAATTAATTTAGTTGTTTTTTTCTTAGGAAATGATCATTAGTTCAAAGAATCAGTAAAGAGTGTAGAATACTTAATCATCATAACTCATTAGTTTGGCGCTTCTCAGCCATACAGTTCGCAAAAACGTTTTCGGTTGAATCGTAAAATAATACATTGAACGTGCTGATTATTTATTTGCTATGATTTGTTTTTCACATCCATGAACAATTAGCGTTGAATTACCATCGTGTCTTAATACAACCTGCGATTTACTAGTAGTTAATTAAAACCCAAAAAGGACAATATCATTATACTAGAACTTAATGATTATAATATACTTCATTTTGTTTCGAGGATTCCTGCATAGGCCAATCTGTGACGAATACGATTAACAATCCAAACTAATTTTCACAACACATCACAACAATGGTGTGTTGTTTTGAAGAAGCATTGTTGATACTAATTGTTATATGATTGTAAATTAATTCAGTAATTAATTATCACAGCCTCACGTGAATCATCTGTTAGCAGGTTATTTGTAGAGCGAGAATTTTTCAAGGTGTACTATACCGTAGTGTATTAGCAACTCATCATGTGGAGTTATTTTTTCTCCAAATTTCTAATTATAACACCATGATTCTGTACATTATTTTAGGTACAAACATTATTTAGATGATTACAATTTGTCCAATAAAATAATACGAATTAGCTTGATGCCCAACGACGATAGTGTAACATTGTTTTACTGTTCTAAATAAAGTAAATATAATCATTCATCAGTTAATCAACTGTGTTAATTGTTGGGTTGTGTAGCTCTTGAACTGCCTTTACGTAGTCGAGTAAATGAGAACATGTATCTTTGTTCACAGACATTCATTCACTAATATATCCAATTCTTTATTACACATCACCCTATTGTATTTGTTTCTCTGTAGGTACACAGATATGTTACGTTACTCTTGCGTAACTCATGCATCATCAATCACAAGAAATTTCTTATTTAAAACATATTTTTCCAAGTTGTCATCCTTAAAATTGAAGGAAGAAAATAATTCACCCGATGTGAACCCACCTTTGAAACGGTACAGGAATTCTACTTCTGTTATACGCGCATTAATTTCATGTGTGCAACCTGTTCCAGAAGCTCCAATTTTCTATTTAGGTCCAGATTTTAGTTATTTATCGACCTCAAAAACACGTCTTTGTATGTTATCAAAAGCTAAAGGTCGTTTAGCTGCAAGAGTATCTGCCAGAGATTTTTTTCCGAATGATATTACAGCTTTAAGTACAGAAGTAAGTAAGATGATTTTTTCATTCCTATTTCTAGTAATTTCACAAAAGATAAACTTGATGAGTATTTGTATTTTATAGAATCTATGGTTTATATATTAAAACTAGCATCAACAATGTATCGTAGTTTAGATGTAGTGTATCCTTGAACTGTGATTCTTTTGGTTATACTCAGTCGATGGTAAATTTTCATCTGTTTCGCCACCAGGTTAGAGGTTTACTCATTAATTTATTTTAAACATTCTGAAGTATTGTTATTTATCATAATTCTAGTAAACTATTGGTAATTTTTCTTGTAATGTTGAATAAAAGTAAATATTTCAGTTCTTTATTAGCTTTTTGTTAGAAAAATATTTACAAGTTCTGCTCTCCGTAATTTGAGTTTCACTGTATCAGCTGAACTAATCCACTTCTAAATTTGTATTCTCTCCTTTTTCAGGCTCCACATATTAAGCGATGGATACCTATACAAACTCCAGATAGTATTTTGAAACGTGCTGTTGAAGGATCATTAAGCAATGATGAAGCTATGGATCGGTTGATTTTACTTCTTGCTCCTAAACATTCGTGGAAATTATATAATGAGATAGCTCCTGTAAGCCTGTATATCATAGCAACAAAATTAATATACATAATTTATTTATAAAGTTTGAACCTTCCTGTCGTTGATTTTCACACCTTGACATCAACAATGAGAGGATACAAGCCCTTACAAGTAAATAGTAAAACTCATCCCTTCTGTAAGAACCTGAGACTATTTCGATTCAGTAGTGCAGTAAACAAAGTGTTAAGCGTTCAAAGCATATGGTGTTGAGCTTGTGTTCTAATGTGAACATGAACACGAGAACGCCAATGAACCCAGGTGATGAATGCAAAATAGGACGAAAAGTATGTCCTAAATTTCACTGTTAGCCACTATCTATTCCTTTCGGGTCGAAAGGAAGTTCTTTTTCTGGTTTTTGGTTCAATTTGGTTCAGTTTTAAAAAACAAACATGTCGGTGGTATGTCTACAAATATCTGTTACTATAATAATGAAAGAGTATAAGGTATATTAATATAGTAAGGTTAAAGTATCATACTAACAATAGTCTTTGAGTGTTGATCTAGCACAGGTTTAGCAGTTATACCAATTTAGCGAATTTCATATATACTACTATAGTAAATAAATTAGTAACTTAAAAAGGAAGTTCTAATTAAATATTTTTTGAAATCATTATACTATGAGGTTATTTGCTTTTTCGTGTTATAATTTCCCGTATAGTTCTCATGTTATTTATATTTTGTGTGTATATATTAGGATTACAAATGGACATCGAATACTTTGCATCGCTTGCTTGACCTTTTATGTGTTACAAATGGTGGTCGAGGTGGATCTCATTCCCATGTATTATTAAATAATTATAATTGGAGTAATCTTCCGGATCCAGATGAAATCTATATGACTCATCGTTTTGATTTTACTCCTAGATATAATCATGACAAACAAATAATAACCAATCAAAACGAGTTGGAAAATATAACAGATGATGAAATCAACTATGAGTTTACAGGGGACTCCATATCATTAGTAGGAGAGTCTAATAATTGGAATTTAGATTCACCTGCAGAAAAATTGTTTCATAAAGAATTTAACATTCTCAACACTCCAGCAGGTTATCGAAGTATGATTCGTGGTGCAGCTAGATTCGGTAATGCTGATCGTGCTTTCGAATTGACTAAACTTGTATGGGAATCAAAAAATGACGATAAATATCTTGATCTAGCCACATATAATCAATTAATTCGTTCTCTACATCAATTAACCGTTGTAATGAGAGGTGAAGAGAATCTGTGGAATGTAATTTTGGATATTTTAGAACATGTGAAAACATGTGGAGATCCAATAAATATTTCAATTTTTACCAATATTCTTTATACACTAGCATATGCAAGTGCTAAAATGAAATATTCGACGTCACCAACATTACATTTATCTAATGGAAATTATGTCTCAATAGGTTTAGGCTTATTAAATGAATTAAAACGATTAAATTTTAAACCTGAACTTGGTACATTAGCTAATTTGTTGTTGTTAATTCATGAAACACGAGCACCTGTAAATCGATCTTCCACATCGACAATAAATAAACAGAATAATAATAATTTGATAAATTATCATACTGATAATTCATCCTATACTTGTTCTAATCTATTGAATGAATTATTAAATGAAGTAGAAATCTATTTTAATAATAATAATTCTGGTATAGGCGGTTCACCTCAACGTTTTGATGCATGGACAATGGATGATTATACGTTTTTTCCAATAGCAATGAAATGTGCAGTGAATGAATTAAATGTAGAATTAGGTCAAAAAATCCATAATTTATTAATTCATCATGAAGATAGAACATTTTTATTGCCTAATAGTCGAATGAAACGAACTTATATGTATCATTATTGTAGATTAATGATTCAATTTAATGAATGTGATATGAGTGAATTTGATCAATTAATCCAACGTTATAATACAACTTATTGTCAGTATTTTGAAGTGATATTATCATCAAACAGTTTACTGATAGTTTTAATCAAAAATTATAACAGAATATTGAGATTATGCGATAGTTATACTGTACCGAATCTAAAGATCCCTTTAAACAAAAAGACATATAATCAACAAACTATCCATTCAATAAAATTAGCCGTATATAGTCACCTATGCAGAATATTAAATGATTTGTTAAATACTGAATTCTCTCACTATTTATATGTTTCTCCAAGCACCATTAAACGGATAACGCTTACAGTGTGCAAATGGGCTACTATTAATCCAAAGAATGCATTAGATATGTCTATGAATATAATAAATACTTTAAAAAGGTTAGATAATTTAATAAAACCAATAAATGATGTTTCTACAACTACTAGATCTCATGATGTGAGTGGAATAAAAGTTGATCAATCAATTATGAAACAGTATGACCAACTTGTTAAATTTATGATCATTGAAAGTACAAAATTATGTTTTCCAATTTTTGATGAATTATCTACTGAATATAATAATGATAATAAAATCAATCGTGAAGAATACTTAACATGGAAAACAAAATTAATTAACGCATTATACGATTGGTTTAGTTATGCTGAAAGTCATAAAATGATTACATGGGAATGGGCGATAAAAGGATTATATATTTTATGGAAAGAAGATGATTTTATACAACTGTAAGTTCATTATTCTATTTCATCTTATTAAATGTGTATTTTTAATAGTGATTGTTTTATTAGAAAGTTCAACTTTATACTGGAATTGTATTACAGTAACTTCCAATTGATTATCCTTGTGTAATTCTGATTTCAAATAGGCTTTCGTTAGTATTAAATTCTTTCCAATGGCTTTTAGAAGGATAATAGATTTTAAAATATATTTATACCATCATGTCTTGTGATTATTATGAAGTAAATTAATACACTCATTTATGATGTAGAGTTTTGTATAGATGGAAATTTACTCATTGGTTTGTGAATATGAATTACCTGAAAAGACTTGGATAGTCATTATGTATTTTGAACCACCATAGAAAATAAAACGATGTTTTTTTTTATTCTAGTGCATAATGGATAACTTTTAAACCTAGGGCAGTAACAGATGTAATTAAGCTGTTATCCAAATTGTATGAACCTGATATGTCACGTTAGTTTTACATACGCTTGTTACCAGTTGTTGAGTATAGACCTCTCACCAGGATTCTCTAACCAACTTTGTCCTGACCTTTCCTTTACAGTTTTTACAAAGTATCACTTACCCTTTTGATGTCTGCCTCCGATTTCCGGCTCAATGATTTCTTTGGTCTCCCTCTTTTTCTTTTGCCTTGAAGATTCGAGGTTAGCGTTTGCCTCGTGATGCGGTTTGGGGATTTCAGTAAAATGTGTCCTATCCACCTCCAACATCTTTTTTCATGTGGCCTTGGATATGCATTTGTGGGGGAATATGATTCCACCCATAGCCATTTCATTAAAGGAATATAAATTTGCAAATCTCTCACCATTTTCGTTCCTTCCTTCCAGTCCATTTTGTCCCATGGTGTCGTCATACACGGTATTATCCATTTTGACTTTGGCATCTAGATCTCCCTTCAGAATGGTCGTTTTTCCCGGATAGTTCTTTACGGTGGGTTGCAGCCTCATTAAACTGATCTTTATAATCTCCACTACTCTCATTGGTGTGCAAGTAGCACCGGATGACATTCATCGTAATCCCTTTCTTCTTCTAGCCGTAAGGTTCCCATCCTACAAGTGTTTTTCATGCTTCTTTGGGCAACATCAGTGCAACTCTTTAAGTATGCTAGAAATTTTTTTGTTCGTAACCAGATCACAACGACAACTGTCCCGAAGCTAGTCTTTTCTGTCCAGCTTGTGTCTACGTTGTACCTTTTCACGGCTATTTGAATGGTCTTCGCCGTCTCCCACATTGTGCAGACATTCCGTGTATCTATGCTAGTTATTACTCTGATTGTCAGAAGGGGCATCTGGTTCATGGTTCCCGAAGAATCTCGGCTTTCACCACAAGGCATCGTCAGTCTTCCAAATGAAGGTCCTCCAACTCCCAGTTCAGATGGTTTAGATGATTTTCTTGATTAGCGTTTTTTTCAGCAAGGTTTATTTCTACAAGATGAGGTTGCTAACCCTATGCCCAACTTTTCTACCACGGCTTTGGACTGACACTAACCCTAGGAGAGCTCCAGATGGATTTATCACCTTATTTTAATGATGAATATCTGTTACCTTGTCACTGGTATTCTGATAGTATACTGAGGTTTGCTTATTTTTATTTTTTTCAAAATCAGGGATTTTATGTGGAATGTTATGCAATGTTTGGCGGAACAAGACGTGGAATTCGAAGTTTGCGTTAGAGAACAAAGAGATTTACTAGAACCGATTTTAAACATTCTAGAACAGTCCATTCCAAAAATCCCACAACAAGATATCAGATCAGTCGAAAAACTAGAATGTTTACAGTTCCTGAGGAAGGTTCTTAGCGCCACGGAGTCTACAAATATACTACCCTTGTATTCTAGTACGTCTAACGCCGTTGAAATTTGCGCCCATAATTCTCAGTAAATGAATAAATTTACATGCCTCTTACTTGTTCTAAACGACTTTTCGAAATAATGAAATGGTGATGTAAAATTGTATTATGAGCATATTTTGAAAAATTGTAAATACATACTTGTTTGTTTTTTAATACAAATGGTTGATCACCTGCTTTACACGTTGAATTCGAACATTGCACAAAACACTGTAATAGTTGTTAGTATTCATCAAGAAGCTGTTCTTGCTGGTCGAAGCTCATTATCATAGCTTGGTCATAACCTTTGGTAAAACGATTGTTTTCCGTGGACTCAAACTATTTTAGACCATTGATACAGTCAGAAACGCTATTTTTAAGCTACTCGATATAAGACTGATTTCCTATCACACAGGACCGATTTAACTTATATGCCAGTGGAAGATAACTAATAACAACCACCTTCTCTCTGTAGTTCCGTTTTCCTGTCATCGTGATTGGCTGTCCGACATTTATAGCTGGTATCTTTCGATTCAGCGAAGCGGTTAGTAAAGACAGGTTCTAGGTACCAAAAAAAACTTGTGTGGTTCACTGTTATCGTTTTTCATATAGCATCAGACGGAAGCTTGACTAGAATATTGAAATAGGCTGTTTGACGTTTATCGTAGTTAAATATAGAGGTAAACCTAAAGTTACACTTCAATCAGCACTCCGTGGCCACATAGTGGTTGAGGCGTCCGAAAAACACCCCACCTACCTCAACTTATGCGACTGGATAGTATCATTAGCCCTCACATGAGTTATTTTTCGCTACACTTCAATTGTCCAAGATTTGACTGCAGTCAAACCTCCAACTCTTGCTGAGGTTAAGAAGGCTGTTGTAAATAAAACAAAGCAACAGGACGTGACAGTAATTTGATGGGCTTCGAGTATGGCGTCCTTCAATTTATGGTTAAACTGACATACTGGGGTATATAATTTGTGAGTATTCTGGTCTTAGTTGGTAGTCGTATTAGTTTGAGGTATGAATTATTTTGAGATAACTAGTTCTAGCATCACAAATCCGTGTTAGTTGGAGCACAACATAATGATGTGGGCTTCAAATATGTATTAATGAGTTCCTCAGATTCTAGATCATTTATCTGATTAAAAGTAGATGAACTTATAAACAGCGTTTCACTCGAAACCAATAGGTAATGTCATGGAGTTGTACTCCATCACGTTGGGCTTCGTTAGGAAGTGTCTTTACTAGTTCTAACTTTTTTCATTTTAGTGTATCCACACATTTGTAAAGTTTGAACATAATAGGTGAAGGTGCCGACATTTGGGGGCTTCTGCAACTGGCTATTCTTATAAGGGAGCATAATCTGTAAAATGCAATATCATAACCTGGAACTGGTTTACACCAACGCCTAGCCAACTCAGAAGTAAAACAGAAAAGTTACGTATATGGAAAATAGCTAAACCTGTTCCGTACTTATCAACCTACACGATAAAATAACTCACACCTTATCACAAGCCGAGTGTACTGAGCAAGCCATCGGCTAATCTGTATTTAGGAGTTTGTTAATGTTTTAGTGTTGCATATTTAGAAGCGATTTGAAAGTCTTTAAAGTGCATTCAGCCCAACACCACTTATTTTATTTAAATTTAAAAATGTCCAATGAATCCCGTTGTATGATTGACTACGAACTTTCTTATCACAATGATGGTTTTCTAGTCTATGGATATAAGTGGATGACACGGACATTCTTTAAGTGTAAAAGAAGAGACAAACTTTCTAGTTTTTTTTATATTATTTAGTCGTTTTCCGAACTGACTTGTGTAAGAAGTTTCTGAACACAAAATTTTGTATACAGCTAACCCATATAAACGTTTTATAGAAATTATGCTAATCAAAAAACGGAATATTTCAAAGTGAATGACTAAATAGAGACGCGCTCTAACGAACCAATCCAAATGTCTCGCAGAACCTTTTGAGAACTAATTTGACTGGGACCAAAGCAAGATGACTAAAACAGTGTATCAAAACAAACGAACAGAGGACAAATCTCCCTTACTATATGAGATCTGAAGTAACTAGGTCGATTCTTCAGAATGTTTAGCTGAACACATGTTCAGTCTAAACCAATTATATTTTACCTAAGTATATGGCGATCATTTAAGTTCAGCTTTAATGTTTTTACTCAGAAGCCTTAACTTCTAACTTATTTTTCATATGAAAGAACGACCTAGACCGCTTCATAATCACTTTACTCTAGTTAGTAAATACTAATGAACTAAAAATGAGATTCAACAAACATGAGTTCTTATAGCATTAACAGCACGTAATATGTGAGGGCTAGTAATACCACTTATCTGATCAAATTTACTCGGAAGTTACAATATCCTAACTTTTGGCCCAGTGATTGATGGGTCACAACTTCACTAGACCAGCATGATATAAATACGGAAAGCTGTTAGTCGTACGACTACCTAACTGTAGACTCTCACATTTAGAATATTCACTAGTTTTTACACTATCTAATACAGGAGACTAGTATTTGATCGCATACAAAACCACAAATTATTATATACCACAGTAGATTGCATGTTTTGAATAAATGTATTCAAAATTACATTGGGGTTTTTATTTTTAAAATTATAAGCGATTAATAACAAAAATTTGTTGATTCACATATAAAAGAAAGTTTGTGACGCTGATCATTAGTTGTTGTACCGGATAGAATGGTAAGTGTTACACAGGAGGTAATAAATCAACTAGGTTTTCAGAAACAAATGCATTAATGTGACTTTCAATTCGACCACGTAGCACGGTTGGACCAAAACGATTTCCTATAGATTTAAGGCATTCCGATGCAGCATTAACAGCCAGCGGTAACTTGCTTTCTACTGCGGTTGCCAATACTTCCAGAAACGCATCCATATATTTTTTAAATTGAGGTTTTTCGAGATGATTACACAGCTGTACAATTACATCGCAAGCTGGAAAAAGAAAATCAAATCTTTAGAAGGAAGAAAAATGTCACTGCATATTCCCAATTTTAAGACAAATAAAAATTGAGATAAACGATACTAAGTTTGTGTAAAAAAAATTAGATGAAAAAACTTAAATAACGTGGTGCATGTTCACAAACTTAATTATTTTGTTTGCTAAAGTTACAAAACTTAAAGTATACTTGATTGATTACGTTAAATATCAAAATAGATAAAGCACTTGTGCACTGTAGTAAGATCAATCATAGTAGCAAAACAATCCATTTTCTAGGATTCTGTCCTAAGACATTTTTATCTTAAATGATTACTTTTGGTTGATTGTCTTCTCTGAGCTGGATTGTTTACTTCTCCGAGACAAGGTTACTACGACAGGCTGATTCAGCGCTCACAGAGTAGTTCACTTCTACCCTAATGTTATTTAGATCAACATTGAAAAACTACCTACTTTAGAGGATACAATCAGAACTTTGTCAATTGTCAGAGTTTTAATATATGTAGGAATCCGACGAATTCAAGGGTCGGAAAAAATGATTCATTACATGCAATAAACTGAAGCTATAAACGATATTGTTGCACAGAAACACCCAACCCATCGTTCTTTAGTTGCAGCTGAAATTACAGTTTTAAAGATTATGCTTACCAGTTTCTAAAAAATAAGGATAATGTGTATAATTTCGATGTTCACAACCCTTCAATAGTTGCTCAATCAAATCGTCAGTGACTCGGTTTGGGAACTTGTCTGATATTTGACCGATCAAGCGAATTGCGCCATCAGCCTCTTCCCAAGGTTCACTGGCACGTTGATGAAGACCATTATGACAACCACCACCTTTTCGACCTGAAATATTTGCAGCCGTATGTAAATATAGTGAGGAAATATCAACATGGTAAGATCGACTCCTAAAATTTATTTGTTTAGAAATTTTAGTCAAACGACTAAATTGTGATGAGCATAAAAATACAATATAGAATAATATATCTGAACAGTTAGAACTGAAATGTCTATTTTCGTGTGATCCACAATACCATAATAATACCCACCTATAATATACAAGGACACAAAACGAATTTTAAAGTCAAAACTGTCAACAGCTATGGTAAAATTATTACTGGATTGTTAAATTGCCACAAATCAAATATAATAGTTAGTCATGCAAGCCTAGAATTTATCACAAATGTGTATCACTTTAGTATTTAATACATTCGTATCTTAATGTTAACAAACAAATTATGATATAAAAATAGTTTAAAGACGATGGAACATACGATGTAGAGAAAGATGAATAATAAATACATTTGTGCAGTTGATTTCAAGCATGAAAATCATTCTCCAAACATACATTTCGATAATCATACGGGCTGCAGCTAGAAAATATGCACCTATCAACACAGCTCTTGTTCAACAGTAAATGGTATCACAAAAATTTTAATAATATTACAATTGTAGTGAACAAGAACACCATTGGGGACAATCGAATGTATTTAACACAAAATTACAGGACTTGTTGATAAAATCTAAAATAAAGTAAATGCTTAATTTGCAAAATGTCCATCGACTGTCTCAAAATGGCTCAGACTTCATTGTTCTTGCACATTCATACAAATTTCATTCTGTTTTTATTCTTTACTGTTCGATCCTCTTGTCTCTCTGCTGCCAGACCTTCTGTTCACGACTAACATATACTACTTATGTCAATATAAGTAGCACACACCACACTATTAGTTACTATTATGGGGAAAATATTTTTTGTACTCATGTACTTTTATTTTCTAAAACGACATTACATGATGCAGAAACTAAGTGCTAGAGCGAATAAAAAACTATATGAATTTAATATGTTATTCATTATCAGTGATTGAATAATACCCCTGAACTACTGCACTACACTCACCAAGACATGCAGATAAAAAAAACAAAATCCTTCGCTGGATTTACTGCTTTTTGAGAAAAGTCGTACTGCTGACTGAAGAGGAGTGTGACAGTAAGACGTTTTCCTCGGGCAACCAGCATCTACAGCGACGCTGCCTTCTCACAACGAAGGACGGGGTTAGAAAGGGTCGACCCTAAAATTATCAAACCTCACCTTACCTCACGGATTCCCATCTTCGGCGGTAAGGCCTTTTGAAGAACAGAGCTAACACGTTAAAAACTTCCCACAAAAAGGCCTTGCGCGACCGGCCTCAAGTAGTTGTCCCTTGGGTTCTGTGGTTACGCTCCCAGGTCGTTAAGACCAACAGTAATTTAACTTCCTTTTTAGGTTCTTCGAGAAATACACTTCCACGGTGTGGGCAACTGGGAAGTGACATCAGCCCTTATACATCTGATACTGAATAAATAAGTATGAAAATATTAAAAATACTGATTGAACAGATGAAATTTCCGGTCGCTAGAATGTTTATCGAGAGGTTAACGCGATCAATGACGTGGTCGAGTGGATAGCTGATCATAAGAACGAATTCTTGACTGGAGACCCCGAATGATTTGAAATAAAAAAAGATTACTAGCCAAGTGAATGGGTATTTATCCAACAAAATAACATGCCTATATTCAAAATATGAACACATAAAGAACAGTAAAATGTCATGACTGTGGAAAATTAGCCTACAGATCACTTATTCTCAAACGAATAAAGACCTGTCTGTTAAACCAAATTTTCGGGCATCGTATCTAAAACTGATATCTGTAAAATTAGACTTACTTAGAAAGAGTTATCTCAAAGAGTGATGAGTAGTTAACATACCTTTCTGAAGCTTCGGGGCCAAGGATCCACAGGAGTACATAACTTGATCAGTATGACGACTATCATGAGCAGCATCTCCACTGTGAACAGTAACATGAGATGCTCCTGGTCCCTTCCCAGATACACGACTAGATTCTGCACCATGAGATTCTTTAGGCTGTTTGCTTAATCCATCAATTTTCTCTACGATATGATTGATATAATGCTTGGGAAAATTGATTAAAACGAAAATAACCGTATTCATATCGAATAATATGATAATGAAATATACAGATTATTAATTATTCTAATTGCCTAATTCAGACCACTGTTAGTGAAAATATGGTGGACAATTCAAAGTGTGGAAACAAATAAACCTAACAACAATATATGATGCAGATTAGCATGTTACTTAACTTTTTCACAAACAAAAAATCAAATTCAGTTTTTACCATTACATAAAGGTATTTAGACAGCTTACACTGATACCATATTCTAATTTAAAACCCGAACATTTTGTTAAGTTCCTTGTGTTAATTTTAATCCCCATGTTAAGATGGACTGAGCAAACAGCAAATATTCCCGTTCATTCAATTACTAGATACTCATCCGGATATCAACTGATTTACACTTGTTTACAACATTTGCGCTTAATTTCTTAAAGAAATATTAATATCTCAGCTTATTTTTACCTGATGAAAATGTCCGTCAGATGTAGCCCAAATCGATTAAGCAGATTTAGATAAGTAACTAACTGCTGAAACGTTTAAAGAAGAAGTGTACATAGGTGATATGTGTGGGAATTAAACGTACCTTCAAGTTAACTCCACAAATAAGTTACTGCCTTAGTAATAACTTGTTTGATAGCACAAGTTCCTCCACTAGGATCTAGTTAAACAAATCTTGGACAGATCAATAAACAAAATAAACAACCTAAACTACGCACCATAGTACAATCAGGTGGTTTGACATTCAGCTTTGTAAATACATATTTATTCTGAAGATAATTGAGATATCCACAAGAGACAATCAAGATGAAAGATAGGAAAATATGAAAAGTACTTCAAATGAAACTATGAGTGGCGGAATTCAAAAATATGGAGAACTTTACAAATACCACTGATGGGACTGGGTGATAGTTGCGCTGAATAAAGTTGAAAATGTGAAATACTGTGTTTCCATTTAGTGCACAAAGAAGTATCGTGCTCGCTGAGAGATTTGAAGATTCAAAGTTTGGTCGTATGTAGATTTATGAGTCACAAACTAGGAAGAAAGTGATTGGATGTGTCTTGTTATTTAATAGTACCCCAGTTAATATAAGCTTACGATGAAAACTAAATAAAAGCTGATCGATCTCCACTAATCCCTTATCTAAAGATATAAATACTTGCTACACCAAATAAAAAATTTGATAAGATTAGTGCAAACAAGTTGGACGGAAGATATTAATACACCCCTACAAGTTGAAAATACCAAACGGAAATTACGTGCAAAGCCTTCAGTTGTATTCGAGAAGCTGGACCTAGTTTCAGCTGGGAAGAATGATATGACAGCAGATCAAAAAAGGTAAAATTAAGTCAATCGGTAGGATATTGTAAATACGTGTCCACATAGTAAGTTAATGATTAGTTGGTGTTTAATACTATTCAATTCAAATTATAGAAATCTGGTCATTAATATGACTGTAAATAAATCAAAGGAAAATTAATGTGATGAGATAACAGTATGACTTATTTGGGTTGATAAAAATTTTCTATCACCAGTATGTGTTCTTACTACTACTCGTCGCTGGATTTGAAATTTTAATACCAAGCACAAGTAAGTTCAGCATTTGGCAGACATAACAGAAACAGGTATCACGGAACATTCAAACATCAATATATGGACACAAAATATAGAAACAGAAAAAATTACTTGGAATAAATTTTGATCACCAACTGATTTTAAAATCGCAGCAATCGATTTAGCTGCACCATCACGGACTGATGGAATACTATCACTAAGGTTTCGTAAGAATTGTGTAGCCATTAAATTATCGTAGCCAGCCGCGCGTGTCTCGTTAGGAAAGGTGGAAATCAATGAACCAAGTGCAACACAGGCCGCATCTCTTACTGGCCAACTTTCATCTCCAAAGCATACAATTAAGGCATCGAGCAATTTACTGACACACGGTAGTAGCAAATTTGGATCTAATTTAGTTACAATCTCAGCCATAGACGCACAAGAAGCCTCACGAACCTGAATATAAAACAAAAATCTGTATCAGAAATCTTTAATACAAACTGTGAAAATGCTTGATTGTGGATCTGCTCAAGAAACAGAATAACAGATGTTTATTGACTAATATTTCAGTGAAGTATAAAATACGTATTAAACTCTATTAATAAATTTAAACAATGATTGGAACAAAAAATCTATTCATATCAGTATACAGTCTTGTGAAGACAACCATTGAAAATCTGGTAGCATTAGACGACCGTTTTATCCTAGCATGGGACTCAGAAGTGTAAATTTACTATTCCGCTATTGAAGATCGAACCAAAGACCTTCGTTATCGCGTTTAAATGTTAAACCTCTAGACCATTGAGCTAGGATTTAACAGAGTTAACGTCTAACTTCAATCAATGCACGGTATTGAGCAATCACCTGACATAACAGTCTCACACCCGATACGGTTGAAATTCACTAGTCACAGCTTTTCACTATAACTCCGCCAATTGCATTCAGAACCCAGTCACCGGTGAGCACATGATTACTATTTGTAAAGACTAGAATTTTCAGATTTTAAATCACGAACAAATATTTTATTTATTTGAACCCGTAAATGTTGGCACATAGAGGCACCAAATACACATGCGCCACACAAGTCACTTGATTTGTGTGTGGACTGTGATACTGCCCGGGTGCTCAGACCCAAGCAGGTGGTTTCCCTAGAGGGTCACCCCCCGAGCCTTCAACCTAAAGGACTGATTCACAAGGCAGTGGATCAACGTCAGATGTAGTCCCATGGTAGTTAATGACCAACAGTTGGCTTATACGCCATTTGTTCCTTCAGGATCCTGGAGCCCATGTGCAAAATTGTTCTGGAATCCGGGTTTTTCAACTCCCCTAGGTGGACCCACCAACCCGCTCTTCGTCCTCTCAATTTCACAAACAACACCCCCTCCTGGAGAAGAGAGTGAGTAGGACTTCCCTCGCAGATTTCGTATACGCGTGGCCATGTGAGAGCATTTGGAGGAGGAAGTACTCTCTCCACCCTCGGCCGTACCAGGGGGGACGGACAAATATCAGCTATTTTTATTTATTTATTTGAACACATAAATATTGGTACAAGAGAGCGCCAATATATATGCGCCACACAAAACAATGAGAATTCGAAGAGAAATAGAAAAAAAGAGAACAATAACGAAGAGATTGGATTAAGGTAGTGTGGTAGTAATGAGGGAACGCAAAGGTACAATCGGAAGAAATCTTTTGGGTAACTGCTCTCACCGACGCGTTGTAGATCCGACCTTTTACAGCCAGACTAACATCACGAAGGCGCCAAAGGTGGCCCAGATTGGCATAAGCCGCTCTGGCTTTCACTATTCGTGCATTGATCTCATCACTCACACCCCCACCAGCACGAACTTCTCGACTACGTCTATCTGCTCACCATCCAGGGTGAGTACAGGATTGGAATCCTGCCAGTCTTGTAGAAGTACTTCGCACTTCGAAGGTGCAAAGCACATACCATACCTACGGACACTGATTGTCAACTGATTAAGTGCGGATTGCATGCCTTGGGCATTATCGCACAGTAAGACAATATCGTCCGCATACTCAAGGTCGAGAAGTCTTTCTCCAGGCAACCGTCACGGTTTTACTCTTGTGATTTGTTGCATGGTAAGAACCGTCGACCAAGAATCGAAGCAAATATCAGCTAGACCACGAATGGAAACGTGGACACACTGGACGACCGTTCCATTTTAGTTGGATAGCGGTGTGGTGGTTTGATGTTTAGGCGTTCACATATTAGACTGAGAGTTTTGGGTTTGATTGCCTGATGTGAGGTGGGGGTGCGCTGATGAGGTGCCCCGTACTAGGACGAAACAGACGTCCAGGGTTTGTAGGTTTTTAATGGTGGCCTAAGATTTTTCATAGTTTAAACTCCACAAAAGCTTATAATTTAGGGATGTTGAAAATAAGATTACTCGTAAGTATGCAGAAATATCGTAACTTTGACTCCTGTCACATTTTTTAAAAAAATAAACATTGCTTATTGAATCACTGCCATATCAAAACCTCAATCTTACTATTTCATTTAGAACTAAGAGAGTTCCCAAGGTTCCTTGTATATAACTTTGTTAACAAATGGACACTATTAAGAGGTGTCTATTAATTAATGGCATTTAGAAATCGCTATGATTAGGTACTTAAACACAATTAATGTTTTATTCGTGAAAATTTAATTAATCAATTAACCAGTGTTTAAAAATATGGTGTATTTCATTTTACAACATTGAAGAGATGTTAACAGGAATACATATGTAAATTTAGCCGTTAGAAGTTTACTCATGAGTTTTAGCATAAATACTACTACGAGTGAGCAAGATCGATTTCTTTTAAAAGGAAAAAGGAAAACATATAAATCACCAATTTAGCTATATTTCTTAACTGAAGGAGTTAATCTATTGATTTTGTAAATATACACTTACTAAACTAACGCTAATTAATGGTCAAATTCACCAATTACAAGGATATATATGATATTGTACATTTGGATGTTGTTTTTACTATTTAGGAATCAGTTGTAAATCAGTGTTGGATTTAATGGTTGGTACATAAATCAATATTAATCAACAGATGTGCACTCTTTTTTGCGTCAAGTCAAATGCCTCACCTTACTTTACCCTACAGACCCCCATTTCCAGCGGTAAATACTTCTGAAGTAGCAAGCTAACATAACGAATACTTCCTACAAAAATACTGTGACCGGCCACAAGTAGTTGTCTTACATGCATTGTGGTCACGCTCCCAGGTCATTAATCCAGTTTCCTATTCAGGTCTACCAAGAAGAAATATCCTCCAGCGATGTGGGCAAAGAAGAATTGAAAACTCGCCTCATACCTTTTATAGTGCACGACATCACCTCGTTTATAACTAAACCCCATTTTCATTACCATTATCAACTGTCACCTGTTTTCGAATTCTTCATAACGAACAACTAGTGTTAACGATTGGAGCTAAATAAATTCTATCCTTTCTCCTGAAACTGCGCTTCAGACTACATGCCAGAGATTTTAACACCCAAATCCCATGTCCAATAGGAGGATAGGTGTCACTAGCTGAGACAGCTGAGCCTCGTGCTATTGATACATGTTGTATTTCCGAAACATGCATCTAAGATCACAGTATGGTCATTCACTTTACCTTATTTTTCGTGTATTTTGAGACATGACAACTCATGGTCTTGTCGGTAGAACTATAGCACTAAAATCAGTCTTATTCTATTGAACAGGTAACAATTTACTTTCCGGACATGCCAATTGCAGCATTAATCAGGCCTTTACCAAGTCTTTAAGCTTTCGATAAGAAAGATTTCAAGGAGTTGAAAACGATGCCTTTGGGTTGTCAAAATGAATGAATAGAAAGCTGAGTGATAGGCGACGTGCAATGATACAATGTGGACGCGACTGAATTACTGACGAGAGCCTTCAAATGAATTAATATCCAAAGAAAAAAGCCGAAACAGCTATTCCTAAAGTAAAATATACAAGATATTCGTTATGAAAATACGTGTAATCAGATGTCATAAGCGACCAGAGGATATAAATTTTGTGGGTTGTTCACCCCTCAGTGAATTAAGACATGAGAGTAAGCGCAACTTTTCCCCACTAAATATTCTTCCATAAAGCTATATTGTGAAGTAATAGAGCACTTTTAGCTTACGTATATGTGATCGTGCATTATCTTATGTAGATGTTTTAACGGAGAAGCTTTAGTAATATTGAACGACACCATAAAAATACAAACAAAAAGTCCACTATAACATATTACAAAAGTAGGTTACCATAATAGATTGACAACTTACCGCATGATTATCGGCATCACTTTGTTGAATGTAATAATCGACAGCTGGAACTAAATATTGACCAAGTAACTTTCGACCTTCTCCTTGAGTAACACGACACCAAGTATCTTGACTATAAATCCTGACGCCTTCAGCAACGTAATATCTGTTTAAACACATAGCTGGTAAAAGAATAGGGTAAATATCATCTCTCGTATATCCAGAGGGAGGATCAACCTCAAAAAGAGTTCGTACTGCTCTGGAAGCGGCCATGCGGACCTAAAATTGCAGTACATTTCACAAACAAAAAAACTTAAGGAAACCTATTTCGGTTGAGTAATAATAGCGAAATTTCGTACATGAAATAACAGAAATCATACAAAACAAACAGTGGGTATATAGGAATACCTAAATCTGCAATGTTCATTTTAAACAGAACCATAACCTTATGTTTTCGAGCTGAATCTGAAAGTGTAGAGCTGTAGAGCAAACTCTTCCATTTTTTACTGTAAGAAATGAAACAGCGTAATTAAAACAGCGATAACTGATAAGAGAAAGCTAAATTTTTTAACTAAACATTTTATTTTGCGGATCACTGAGGGAGTGCACAGTTTATAAACAAATGTCTTGTACAAACTAAACGGAGGTACGACTTTATGGTTTTGTAGTTTTAAGTTAAGTGCATTTGCATAAAGTAGTATATCAATTCAGTTGACAAGTGCGTTTAGAAATAGGTTTCTAGGTAACACTTTTCTTTAAAGATCAGCAACAATATTAAACCAGTTAAACCAAAGAGTGGACAGTGTGGAATAGAGGCTAAGTAGCTGATATTCAAACTTCTGGGAAACAAGATGCCTCCACAGAGACCGCGTTAACTTTATGAAGCCATGGAAAGTACTTTACTACCAACAGATCAGTTGGAGAATGATTTTCTAGCTAGTGAAGTTGGTACAAAACTTAAAATTCTCAAAAGTCAAAATATCTATGACATGCTTTGAACAAATATGGAGCCCAAAACTACACTTGAAACATCCAAATTTTCCAAGAAATAAGCTCTCATCACTAAAGATTACAACCTTGGAAATCAACGCAATGAAAATTGGCAAATATATACACACTTGACTCCAATTATCTGATAAACCCTTAGCGAGTTGAGTTGCAACGTTGATATAAGTTGCTTCCTTTGCTTCTGGCTCCGTGTAACATAAATGACGAGAAATCATTGTTGATAAAACATCATAACCTGTTTCACGAACAAAACGATTGACGTGCTGAACAGCTTTAAAAATAAGTTCCAAAATAATAGTTCTATCCACTTTAATGAAATCCTTGGATGGAAGATTTGAAACCATTTCCTGTAAACACTTCATCCATGTTTCCAAGTTTTTCCAACCTGCTGTATCATGGAAAATAGATAGAGAACTGCTGCTCAAATTAGTACTGCATTCCTATAAAAAAATCAGCGATTAAAGAAAGCAGTTAGAATTTACTAACCTTAGCTAAGTTGAGCTCTCGTAGAGATAACTCAGCTTCAGATACAGGGGCTTCAGTATTTCTTTCTAAATTAGTGACGACACCCTGAATTACAGTGGGTAAGTACCGGATGAACAAAGATAATCCAGCATGTCGACAGAGGGAACCCATAAGTTGACCTGCAGCTATCCGAACTCGGAATTCAGGGTTATCATGACATTCAACTGCATGATCTTCTAATTTACCGACAATACCAACATCTACCAGAGATCGATAATCGACATTGCGAAGTAGGATGATAGCTGCGGTGATCCCACCAAAGACCTGGCAAAAATTAGTAACAACAACTACTTACGTCTTCCCAATTAGACAGCCCTTCCAACTTTTCTTCTATCCAACTTGACACCAACTTAACTTCGTCAGATGTTAGTGATATGTTATTCAGCTGATCTTCGCCTTTTTCACGATCAAGCTTCTTGGGTGCACACAGAAGTTCCAAAGTTGATAAGAGATTAGTAGCTTCCATTGGCTGAATTGCGACCAAACTGGAATAAGACATTTTATAAATTGTAAGCTATTACGAATGTCACAATGGATTTCGTTACCTCTAGTGGTGGATTTAAAGACGATTTTTAAAAAATGTTAGACAAGCGATATACCATAGTAATGAAACTAAGTAGTGTTGAAAAAACATTGTATATGTTCAGTGTCCATTAACCGTATTTTGATGCTTTTCTGTAATGAGTACCTTAGAGTGAGGCATTTGTAAGGATATTAACTAGAAAGATTAAGAATAGTTTGGGAAGTTCACAATCGTGACGAAAAAAAATAGGATCCAAACATACCTGTTTCGTGATAGGTTCCCTCAGTCCGTTTTGAAATGTACCGAAGCTACTAAAAACAGGTGATAAAACATTCCAATCTTGAGACCCTAAAAATGTACTTCGGTAGTGCAAACATTGCAAATACAGTTGAGATATTTCGTATTTAAAGATTAAGCACGACAATGATGGTGACCTACGGAACACATGAATAAACATGGGGAACGTAAATCTTACATAGTAAAATTAAGTCATGCATTAATACATAAGATTACTAAGTTTCGAAGTTTGATGATCAGCAAGCGTCCGTCTCCTTAGACTTTAGGTTAATGATGTTTTGCTGAACACAAAAGTATAGATCAAAAGCCTATAATGGTCTTAAAAATAAAGGAACTGGGAATAAACAAATTAGAGTATAGGCAGTCATGTGACCAACCTACATCGCGAGAAAAAATCCCAAAGAAAACGAATATATGATCGGTTACAAAGGGACTGACACTATTATACTAAGAAATGAAAAATAGACAGACTAATGCACACATTCCGCCGTCAAACCGCTTTAGACATATTAATAACCTAACTAATAACCAGCTGATACCAACTGGTGACATAACTCCTCAGGTTACCGCTTGAACCGTTCTTCATATAAAAATACTAACGAACCAGATTCAAAACGGATGTTATCAGAGTTCGGACGCAATGAATTCATTGGATTAATCCAAACGCATATGGTAGAAACCCTATATTGTAAATTACCGCTAGAGTTCGTTGTGCACATAAAGGTTAGAAAATTGTAAGCCAACAGACTAATAGATTCCAAAGCATTTTAGCTTTTTGTGTCAAGTCAGAAGCTACTTTCTGTATTAGGAGAGCATGCAGAGTAGCGTTAAGAGGGCAGGAAAAAATGTAGGCCAACGATCCAGTGAGCACACAAGGAGTCTACATTTATTAGGTAAAGCAATCAACAACGACCAGAAATGACACAAGTTTCAGATTAAGACAATCTGGTAGTCGAAACGAGCATGCACATTCAATGTCGCGCAGAAACTGAATCGCCCACATAACACTACCGGTATTATAAAACGTTTGTTATTCATGTTGATGTTGTTTGTCCGTTTTTGACCTTTTCATTGCCAAACAATGTCTCTCGATCAACTGACAGACCGTTGAAAGTCTATAAACACAAGTGCTTTATAAATAGAAATATTGATCTTCACGTGATGGATGACGACATTTTTACTCGCTGAGTTAAATTTATGGTTTCGATAGTTTATTATGCATTTGTAACATTCTTTGCACTTTGACAGATTTAATTTCAGTTAAGTTAAAGCCATTTTCAAATGTAATTTTGTATCTGTCATCTTATTGAGTACATCGGGCTACTTTGTGTTTATTACACTCTTGGATCAAACAGTTCACGGTACCACTTCTCTGGTTATTGTTTTTTTCCAATTTTTTATGTGTGCGAGTCATTTGAAAACCTCTGGTTGATTACTGGATAGTAAAAAGGATGCAGTCGCCAACTGTCTTGCTGGCGATAACCTTGTGGAGATAGGTCTGACAAGCTTATCTTGTAAATAGTTTTTAATATTTGTATTTGTCAATTTCTCACTGAATGTACATTTATGATTAAATGACAGTATTTCCTTTTTTTTTGTATTCGTTATGCTATGCTACATTATTGCTATTCTCAAACGACAACACTCCATCTTATTAATGTTTATGTCATATCCATCTCTACAACTTTTGTTGGTTATAACTGTAAATATTATTTTTGTATATACACATATATCATATTCTTACATTTTTTTTATTATAACCAGTGTTACCTCCGGACACTCTGGGGGGAGCTATGTGGAGATAGGTCTGACAAGCTTATCTTGTAAATAGTTTTTAATATTTGTATTTGTCAATTTCTCACTGAATGTACATTTATCATTAAATGATTGTACCTGTTGTTTAAGTAAATGACCTTGAAGACTTTTTCCGTTGTGTTACTAACATAGCGTGACATAGTTTTGGTGGTTCGCAAATACACTACTACGCACATACGCATTGTTCTATTCTCGCTCGTTACCGCGTCAATTGCTTTCTAAACTGGATATTATCCTCATTTTAGACTGCGGTGTCATTTCCATCATATCCTACGTCAGAGAAACTTATTGCCGTCATATTTACCCCTGTGGAATTATTACGCATTTATAATTGTGGGTTTATGGGACCAAAACTCAACGGAATACGCAACCACTAGCTGATTTAAGTAACGTCCCTGAACTTTTAATTTGTGTTGTTAATTTATAAACTATTATTGTTACATTAATTTTGGACGTAATAACTTTATCACTGATTTTTGGTTATTATACTTTTTGGTCCACCACAACCTCTGTGAAGTTCCATGCAGTACCACTGAGTTCGCACGAATCTAATACCTGCGATTTTCAAACGACTTATTGAATATCTATAAGCGTAATTTTACTTGCAATGATGCTCAAATGTGTAGTAGCTCTGTAAGTTTTCGATGTTTGATACTGGCCTCATTAGTTTTACTGGACTCACATAGCTGAAGGCACTCCATCAAGCATTAGCACCAGATCACGATTGTGTACACCGTGCTACGCACCTCTGTCAACTACTAGTCATCTTTTACCAAACGTTACTCGACATAACAATAGCTTTCCAAATACATCTTCGGACCCCTTTACTCCTGATTTCTGATTTGGCTGGGTCGGTATACCCGTTTACAAAGTTGTTACTGGTTAAGGTGTTTTCGAACTATAAATGTTTGTGACGTCTTTAGATGCAAACAGCTTGTTATCCATTGTAAACATTAACGCTGTTAAAGAGCATATCATCAAACACGACCGAGACGGATACAATGGTACTCGCTGTCGACACACAAACCGATGTTCAGTCATCACAACTCAGCTCAAAGTCGACTGTCTGGCTTATGGAAAAAGATGAAGCACTGACTTCAAAAAGGCCTTTCAGAAATAAAAACTCAAAGAGGGAGACTTCCTCGACGCTACCCTCTTAATGGTAGCAGTATGGAACTATCTGAAAAACCTAGTCGTAAGGCTAAGTGCGGTTCATGCAGGGAAAAAACAACCTGGCCACCTTGATTATCAATGATCAGCCACAGTCTTAGTGTGTGTAGCTCAACTGTGACCGCTAATCAGGATGGATACAAAGCAAGAATAAGCAACGACCTAATGTTGTTTACCGAAACCCAATCTCCCTAAAAGTAGTTGGGAAATTAGAACCTGAACACACTAATATGTGAATCATCTTTCATGGCGTCCAGGAGAGCGAATGATCTGGGTCCAGAACTCCCGTTAAGTATGACATTGAATTGGAAAAAAGTCTACTTCGCCGGCTTATGCCTCTATATATAATTGGCATCACACTACTGAAGATTTGTGAATTAGGTAGTCAGCGGACCTCAACGCAGGTCAAACCAGGCAGCAAAAATTGAGACGCAGTTCTACAGTGTTGAGACTACCTGAAGGGATCAAGAGATGGTCCCGCAAGACCTTGTCGCACGCGGACCCTATAGAAAGGCAATAAGCTGGAATAGAACCGAAACTAAGTTTAAATGCTGAAGAGAAGAACATTAGGATTGTGAAGATTCGGGCGGTGAGCTCTCGGTAGAGGGTGACACTAAAGACACTTTATGTAGGGCACGAATGTTCCTTGGACCTGTTGCACAAATTACCAAAGCTTGCTCAACAAGCAATGAAAGCCAGGTGTAAATATAGACTCTATCAAGTCAGATGTAATCGCCTTCACAGTAACTAGGCTGATGCAGTCTGTAAACAATTAGAAAATTTGATTTCGAAAATTCCGTATTGTTGAAAGTCGATATAACCCATGAGTTTAAATAGAGAATTAGCTGCATTAATTGGTAATACTATTCCTTTAAACATCATCTATAATATCCAATGAAAGTAGAACGTGCGAATAAGTTAGCTTGTAGTAGCATGTGATCCTAACCACAATCCTCAAAGCTGAACATGAGATAACTGGGAAAATGGACTTTCAAAGTGTAACACTAAAATAAGGTCAATAATGGTGGACGCAATACATTCTTTCCAAATTCAATTCATCGTATTGTATGACTAGGCCGTTCAGAAGTGGTCATACTTATGTAACATCACTTTTATCATATTAAAACTATTGTTCTGTCTCTAACCTAAATGTGTTCTGCACCATATGTTGGTGATTGTTACAATACGATGAGTTAGTGTAGACAATGATGTGAACTCCACGTAAGATCTTATATATTAGGCAGTTATATCGTGACAAATCTGTAATTTGAAGATTAGATCTACTATTACAGCAGTACTAATAACGAAGTAGACCATAATTCTACAAGCCGCAGCTTGAAATGCAAAGAACAAGAGATGCTGGTTGATTCGGTGTGCAGGAGTTCAAATTGTGGTGTGAACGAGGTCTCGCTCGATGGATTCATATATTGGTCTTCAAGTTGTCAATGTTTAATATGAGGAGAATTTAGTGACGTTATGACAGACTAGGTCTGTTGTGAAGTAGTAACTCAGTGAAGACAATAGTGGATGTGTCTCTCGATTTCGTGGATTTGTTGAAGTTAGACATTAACAACGTTGGATGCCGGCCCACTGGTCTAGCGGGTAAGCGCTCGCGCGCGAGACGGATAGGTCCGGGTGTAGTGAACAGAACACCAATGCAAACAATCGAATGTATTCGACACATAAAATTACAG